CACCTTTTCCATCGTACAGCCCTAAATGACATCAGAGCTACCCTTCTCCCTCCAAGACCTAACTTCGACAACACACTCTACGGAACATTACAGCAACTGCAGCAAACCTGCACTTACCACTACATGGCATTGGACAGAAGGGCGAGAGCCCAGATGTTGCTGGATCGATAACAACAACAACTGCTGCAATGGTCAGGGACGATGCAAGTGCGATGTTTGTGGTAAACAAACGCACCCCTCGGTTCACACCTCGGTGTTATCCTGTCTGGAGCAAACATTCTTCCGTTTTATCGAGTCTTACAACGCTTATATATATGATCACATTCACGAGAGTGGCTGATCTTTGTTGACGAGCCAGGCAGTTCAATGATCTCAGCTTTTACTCTTGATTGATCGGCTGTGTCTACCCAGGTTTTTGTTCTGTAAATCATGATCTGAAATGCGAGATCTTAGCCGAATGTTGACCTTTAGGAGTGAATCAGAGTGGGATCTTAGGAGTGACTTTTGTATTGTAAAATCTCTGTTCTCTGAAAACAGGGGATCTTAGGCGAACCAGGATCGTAAGCGGAGGGATCTTAGGCGGAGACTACAATACAAATAATGTAACAGTAACAGGTTTATTTTTTCTGGAAATTTTATTTTCCCCTTTAGATTTTAAGCACGTCTGACAGAAAGCAGACAACTTAACAGTAACAAGCTAATAACAAAATAAGTGAAACAACACCATGAAGTTTGTAAACCCAATGAAAGTAAAACAAATTCAATAAAAAACAAACCAATTTTAAATGTTATGACATTCTGCGAAAACAAATTTCACCAAGGAACATTACAAAACGGTGAAACCAAAAACACATGGCAGAAGCAAAGAAGACTCGAACCTGCACAAGTCAGTTAAGTACATGCGATTTGAGATTTTAAAAAAAAGAACAAGTAACTAGCTTTGTCCTCTGGAGTTTACATATTTTGTTTCATGTTGGAATAGATTCGGTTCTCATAAAAATTAGAAGAAAAAAAAGAAGGTAATTCTCTCCTGCTTGTGATTTATTTTCTTCCGAGAAAAAGGATAAAAGTGTTACTGATCCAGTCAATGCAATGATTTATGATTTTACAACAGTAATGAAACGGCTAATCTGTGACCTGTGGGAGAAAACAAAAAAACAAAAATTCTTGAACTGATGGTAAGAATCCCTGAGGCAACAAAAGAATGAAGAATGTTTCCAGGGCTGTAGAGAGATTGAGCTTTCTAAAATGATGTTGGTGAAAACAGGTATTCCACGTTGGAGAAAAGTACAGATTAGCAGTGTGAGTATATCACAGAAACAAGACGAAAAATCTGTCTGGGAAGTTTTCAGTAGAAAATCTGGAAGTTCATTCAGTGGCTTGGAAGACGTCAGATTTGCTGTGTTTCAAGCACTTCAATCTTCAAACTACAAAAGTATTGGTTTTATGAACAGCAAACATATAATTTTATTTTTTCAGACTAATTTTTTAAAATATCACGATCAATTCCCTTGTAAAAATTAAATATCCGAGATCTACAACCCAAGAAGGACTAAAGTTCAAAATCAAAGGGTAGAATCTGATCATGAGAGAGGTTCATATTTTATTGCTTTTTGATATTGTTGCTTTTAAACAAAATGTGTGTCCCAGAAAGTAAAAAAAAACCCTGAACACTAGAAACAATTCTTCAAAAAAAAAATTAAACCTATAAAATCACATGTCTAATAAGGTTACATCATTTTCTTCCATCTTCAACTAAGTGAACACTAGTAAGACGAGATGATAATATATGCTGAGAATAAAAAAGTACATCCCAAGGACAACCTAAAAAAAATTCAGAATACACAAGGTGTATTCAGATCAAGATTATATTTTATATAAACAGATAAAAAAAAGATCAAAATTTTCATACAGGTTTCAGTTTGGCATGAGAAATAGTATCGGTATACTACAGCATTACATTGCAGTCCATCATTCATTTTGAGTCAAAACAAACGAGGGATTATACAGACACCAAGAGCAACAAACTTTAATCATTATCATCTATCGCTATCCAGCAAACATAATCCCCTCCTACAGCCTGAATGATGGTTAAGATGGTCACCTAATGCCCATAGTTTGACACACTTAAATATAAAACAAAATATACCGTATGCACGACTCCTGTGGTCTCCTGGATTGGAAACCTTTCCATCTAGTTGGTATGACCAGGGCTACTTATTTACACATTCTACTGTTTCGTCGCTTGTCTCCGAAGCAGAAATTCTGGGTTCGAGCCTCTGTTCGGACACATATTTTTTTCACCCCCTCTTGCCCACCCAGCAGTAATGGGTACCTGACTTTGAGTTGGGGATGTAAAGGCAGCTTAGAAAGGAAATGGCCATCCTACCACAATATGCCGAAGGCCCAGGAAGTTGTCTCACTTACAAAGTAACCCTCAAAGTCCAGATCGGATGTGGGACCAACTTTACTTTTACGGTTTCGGGGTTCAAACCTTCTGTCAACAATTGCCCTCTGACAAACCTGTAGGCTAAAGAGTGCAAAGTTAGGAATGGTTCCAAAACAACTTTGAATGAAGAGTATGAAATCACATAAAAGGTGGGCCTTAGATTCCCAGAATCCATCCGCAATAAGATTTAGCCAAGAAGGTGGAAAGCCATGAAAACTCTCCACACAACTCAAACTGAAAATTTCATACTGGGGTTAGAACTAATGCTGTGCGATTTTGAGTTTTAAACAATCATCGAAGCTTTGAAGTGCGATGTCACTGTTCGTGCTATTCGAATATCGTGAGTGAATATATTTAAAAATGTGAACCCCAGATCTCTAAAACAATCAGTGGTATACAACAGTGACATGATGAGCTTTCAGGAACATTTTTAGGTTCGATAGGTTCAGAAACGGGGAAATTGTAGAAAATTTACTAAGTGCTCCGCAAGGATAGTAGCATATTTAGCCTTAAGCTTCGAATGTTGGATCATGCCAAGGGAGCTAAGTATGCCAACGTACAAAAAAACATTTGCTGCGCTTCAAAATGGTGGTGGTTACCCATATCACCTTGTACTTCGAATTTCAAATCGTGCAAAGGGAGCTCAGTAGGCTATGCAATGTACACAAAATCTCCAGCTGCGCTTCGAAGCGACAGCCTATTGAGTGCAGTACAAGTGCCTTTTAGAGGCATGTATTATAATTCCTACTGGCTCCTCTTATCACTCTGTCCTGTAATCATCAACTTGAAAGTTACGTTGAATTTACCTCAGTGTATTTAGAAATTTTACAATGCTTTAATTTTACTACGGGCTGAGAAAATCAGAAGAAATGCATAGTGCAAAAAAATCACACAGCATTCGAATGGCTCTGCCAGGCTTCGAATAGCAGTGAATGGCGGAAAAATCATTAATGTCGAATAGTGAAATCGAATGGGCACAGCTCTAGTTAGAACCATGGCCATCTGTACTGTGTAAATGATCATGGCATCAAAGTAGTAAATAGGGCACCTTATTACAAGTACAGATTAGATGCATCCACCACAATTAGAAAAGATAATAGGCCTACATAAACACTTAAAAAAAATTTCCCTGTAAGCTTCACTAAGTAACCTGACTGCACAACCTCAAACTGATATGTAACTATGTCATAGAACAGGAACAGTTTACAGATTTCTGCCATGATTAGGTAACATTAAATGGCACTGTTTGTTTCTTGGCTACTATGAAAGAATGTAAAGACTGAGTTTTCAAAATGTAACAATACAGAATGAAGGAATTACAAATAATTGTGTCCATTATTGTACAAAGAGCAAAACCCCCAATAATATATATATGGGACGTAGCTGAAAATGAAAACGCACAAGAATGTCTTGACAATAACCAATCAATTACATTATTTGTTGCGGTAGTAATTCAACATGTACAAACTATCACTAAAATAAAGAACTATTGTGCAGTAGGTAACTGCTTTGGTCCTATCAAATATTATTCTGAAGAACGCAGTTTAGAAAAAAACCCCAAAACAACCACTTTCCTTTTATCTTTAGTTGGCTTCATTTTGTCTGTGATGTCAACATTTTTACAGAAATCAGACAGTTTGGGATAAAGAAAAACGTATGCCTGTCTGGAACAATAAAAGAAGAAGGAATGAGAAATTCATCACATCTGATTCATCGCTGTCAATCACTTTTGCTCTTATTTCCTCAAAATAAGACAACCCATTAAAAGAAAAAAAAAAGATACCCACAAAAGCAGCTGTAGCAACAATACATGAAACAAATGATTATAATCACCCAGGTCTCTCAAAGTATTCAAATTAATTCACCCCGCCCCCCAAAAAAACCCAAACAAAAACAAAACAAACCCAAACAAAAAAAACCCCCTGCAATATAATTTATAGATACCATAAACAGACACAAATTATATAATGTAAATGTTTCACAAGCAAATAGCAGCTACTGGTGAAAGTATACACTGCAATGTAAAGCTGCATTACACATAATATACATATATATATAGTGCCAGTGTGGGAAAAGATAACAACAGCTGGGAGAGTGTTCTAGGGCCTCATGGAGTGGGAAGAGTCAACGAAAATGGTCTCCCCCTCCTCAGCATGTGCGCTGAACTTGGTCTGTGCATCATAAACACCCTTTTCAGAATGGCTGAAAAATCAAGACTACTAGGATGCATCCCAGGTCGAAACATTGGCACATGATCTATTACGTCATTGTACGCCAGAGAGACAGAAAGGATGTCCCCTTACCAGAGCCATGAGAGGGGCCAACTGCTGGACAGACCATCGATTAGTGAAAACTATTATGGACATGCACATCCAGCCACTTCACTAAAAAAAGCCAAAGGACCCCAGAGTCTCCTACAACACAACAAAGCTTGAAAACGAATTCTACAGAAACAAGGTCGAAGAAGCTCTCGAAAAGAAATTGAGCGAAGATTCCATTCCTATAGGTGACTTATCTGAAAAATGGACTTCCTTCAAAACAGCTGTCAGTGAAACCGCCACTGCTATACTTGGTCCGTGGATTTCAGTCCCTTCAAACTAGAGCCCAGAAAGATCTACGTGAGATGACAGATTTATGGTGGAACAGTAAGGCTGAACAATTTCAACTCTATGCTGATGCCCACAACTCCAAGATGTTCTTCAGCTCTCTGAAAATCATATACGGCCCAATAACCTCAGGATGTTCTCCCTTGTCCTCGGATGGCAAAATCCTGATCAAGAACCAAGAAGGGCTCCTCAAGCGCTGGACCAAGCATTTCAGCTCTCTTTTGAACAGACCTTCCACTGTTGACCAAGATGCTCTCAATCAAATACCCCAGCAACCACCAGAGCCGAACCTGCTCTAACGACTACCTGTCCAAGAGGACCCCATGTTCAAACAACTACCCCTTCCCCCCTTGCGTTTTCCCCCCCTTAACACTAGTAACACACTGTCCTAGCAGAACACCTGTCTGATTAAAATTTTCCTCCACAACAGTGAGTGGTCCTCTTGGATAGGTTTGACTATAAAAGTATATTATAAGTTAAAGTAAAGGACAGATTAGCGTGTCATATAATTTTTTTGTACCAAAATATAATGCAACCTCTAAATAAATGGCAATAAAAAATAAAATTTAGGGGCTAATATCGATGCTGGGATGTTGTTCTTTAATCTATAAAGTCTATGCGTGTATAAGAACAAGGCCTGCCTTGCAAAGTGTTAATTCATTGCTTGATCTGCCCTTGCCTTCTAACAATAAAAACAAAAGAAACTTGAGGACTGAAGTCTGATCACTCGCCCTTCTTCAGCTTGCTTGTCTGAAGTTTGGTGATGTCCTGGGGAGTAAAGAAAGTAAAGTTTTGTTTTTCTAAAAAAAAACCCAACAAAACACACACACGAAAAAACAACAGAAAAGTACAAAACATTTTTTACCAGTCCTTTATACTGTCTTCTATTCAGGCAAAAAAATCCAGCTCACATGGAAAATGATGCAAGCGATAGCTTAGTTCACAAACAATATACTTTGTTTAACACAAAAGAATTTGAAATCCCCCCCCATGAAAAAATATTCAGGTCCTGTGAAGTTTTTTCAGTTATAAGGAATATTGTACACTTTGATTAACACTTTGCCGCCTCATCTCGCTGATTGGCGATGTTTACCACCCAGTTTTTTTGGGTTTTCCCCAAAATATGATGGCAAAGTGTTAAAACACATACACTCTCACATGCACCAAAAGCAAGCATTCTCCAGTGCAATCTCTCTTGCATACGCAAATAAACATACATCAAAAAGTCTTCCCCGCAACTGTCGCTCATTTCTTGCTCCCCTCCCTCCCTCACTTCTTTCACAAACGAATTTTGTGTTCAAGTCATTCACAAATGCTCATGCTTAGCAAAGCACAAAGGCACGCTTGGTGAAAAATCCTACTGGTCATACTGAGGTTGTCCGCCGTCCATCTTACCCTCTCAACTACTTGTACAGTTGTTACTGCCACCCAGTACTGTCACAATGGGTCAAATAGACAGAGAGACAGACAGGTACTTAGCTATCCCTATTTTCTCCACAGTGATTGGGATGAGTGTTTTAATAGTGGGAAACCTGCTTTCTTCTTTATCTAAGCCTTCAAAACTCTGCACTTTTTCCACTTTATCTACTTTCTTATATGACTAATTCACATCACGGCATTGACCACAACATAATGCAAATTTAAAGCATATATATGAGTATGACAGACAGGATTCTACAAAGTAATAAGGTGTACAGATTACCTCTATCAAAATTCCCTTCAGGTGTTCATATGCAATTTCGAGATCATCATTCACTACAATGTGATCATAGGCTCCAGATTCCTCAGCTGAAAGATGGAAAAATAATGTAAAGAAAGAACAAAATGAGAAACTACTTTATCAGCTTCTGAAAAAACCCCAACAGAAACGAAACCACAGACTTGATTTAATCAAATATTTTACTATCAACAGTGAATATATATAACACCAAGAGCAGTATAAATAAATAAGACAAGAGCTTTTTACTTCTCTCAGCACATTACATAACAAAATCAGCAATTTAAAACAAATCTAAATTTATTCTTTAAAAAAATAAATCAACAAAATTTACCCCCCCCCCCCCCCCACACACACACACACAAAATTATTACAACTCCTGAATGTTGACATCTATCAGGTTGAATTTACCAGAACCAATGTGAACAAGAATATAACTCTCCTGAGCATGTTATGGTATGATAAATGAGTAGGTACTGCACCTACCATAGTCAATAGCTTCTTTCACAGAGTCCAGTCTCTTCTGTAAGCTTTCCTCTGTCTCTGTGCCTCGGCCCTGAAGTCTCTTTTTCTGAAAAATGGGAAAAAAAAGAAAAAAAAACAAAACATGATGAGCTTCATTTTTCTGAGCTTCTAATTCAATATAAACGGCAATATAAGCCTCCCCCCCAAAAAAACTAAAACAAAACAACAAAACCCTAAAACACAAATAACAAAATAAATAAAAACAAGTGAAATATCAAATTTATTACTCGCCCCTTTCAAACACCTCTCTTATCTCTGAGCCAGCATTGAAAAGTTTCGCTGCAGGTAGATATTTGCATATTTCGCTATTGTGTGAAATGATGCTACAAAAAGGCAGTGCAATCACATTGCATCAAAACAATACAATTCTGAGGCAAAAGATATATCATTTTTGTGCACCACAATTATTGTACTTTCAGATTCAATAATATAAACATAAACAATATCTGGCAGCACAAGGAAAAGAAAGCTATAGTAAGACTAACCAGCTCCTCTAAGCCTGGTGGTTTGACAAAAATGAACCTGGGCCTAGGCTGCATGTCAGAATTCTTGATGCTCTTCACCCCATTGATCTCCACATCCAGCACACAAAGCTGACCTGAGCTGCCAATGTCATTCACAGACTTCTTGCTGAGGACAACACCATAACAACAACAATAAAGAATACTGGTAGCTTAAAAATCAGTGGGATGTGTCCTTGAGGAAGAAACACTAATCCAAGCTCAAAATCAGGATGTGTTAACATGACCTTTGTATTCTGGAATTGACAGCTGTTTGCTTTGTATTGGATAACACTGTACCCTGTGAATGTTTATGTACACACCACTGAAACCAAACTGATGTGAACACAGAATGAGATAACATTATTTTTCTTTTCATCTCTATCACTTCTAGTTTCAAGACATTTCAATGTTAGTGGAAATGAATAATTATTAAGTTACTCAAGAAAGGAAATATATAATGAGAGAGGAATAAAGATGATCAGTTTCAGGTTATATCTTGAAGAAAGCTTTGTCACTAAAGATCAAATCTATAGTCTAGTAAATTCTCAGAGGTGAACAGGCTGAATTGGGGGCAGAAAGATCACATGAAGATAAAAAATGTGCCCATACCATCATCTTCAAGTGGTTAGAGGAAAGGACTACTTCTTTTTACATTGTTCCAGAGACTGTTAATAGGCTCTTGATAGAGTCTACCAGACTGCACTCTAGAAGTTAAGACCATAGTGATGGGCTAGAAATTGTAAGGTGCGAGACAAAGAAAAATTTGACTGAATCATAAAGAAAGGCAGCAAGACCTCCAGATATGATTTTAAATTTCCCACTGGGACAATAAAGTATTATCTAACCTTAAAAGTATCTTAACTAAAGAGATTATCTAGATGCTGTCAACATATACATGTACAGCCAAAGTTATGTCAAACACAGAGGGTTGTAAGGCAAGCAGTTTCAACTCAAATCCAGAGTTTCACCCGGTTACATCATTCCAACTCTCCTGTTTCAAGCAGCCATAGATTTTGTGATGAACGACACTAACTCCCAATGAGAGCAGCCTTAATGAATGTAAGAGGTTTTAAGTACCATAACTGCCCATTGACTGGAGCATTGATGTGGTTCAAATCTTTATTTTCAAACAATGGAAGCAATCTTCATACTCTTTGTTCAGGTCGTTAAATTACCTGGTGCCATACAGATTTCCTGAGAACTGAGCGTGTTCTAGAAATCCATTTTGAGCAATCAAATTCTGGAAATCCTCCCTGGTGACAAAATGGTAAGCTGAAAAATAAATAAGAAAATAACATGTCAGAAATACTAACTACCAAATTATCAATTCTGTCTCTATTTCCTGGAATGCAACATGGAACGTCATGCAAATAAAGAAACCTTGAACTTCTATTCAATCGTTACTACTGAATGTCTTAATATGTTCATACAGAATCAGGTCTTGAAGAAACAGACCCTAAACCTCACAGTTTGAGAATGCCTTGTAAAGATAGTATGAAGGGAAACAGACCAAAAACAGATGAGGAAAAAGGAAAGTCGGTAAATTTACAAGAAAACTCACCCACACCATTTTCCTCTCCAGCTCTGGGGTTTCTTGTAGTATCTGTAAAGCAAATAAATAAATAAACAAATAAAAATAATTTAAAAAAAAAATATACTGGCATAAATAGAGAGAACATCTGGAAAGTACAGAAAAACGAAAGGTAAAAAGAAAACAAACAAATGACAAATATTTTGGTAAAAATGATATAACTTACCATGTACAGAAAAGTATAGTTTTTTTAATTTATTCATTATCAAAGTACATGCATACAAACATACATATATGTATATATCCCAATCAGAACAAATACACACACCTAGCAAACAGATGCACACACACACACACACACACACATTTAAACTCAAACAGAGAGAAATAAGGAGCAACTGACATTGAGGATTTGGACTCGGTGTGCTTGCACCATAGCCCAGCATGTTATCAACTGGGTGAAATGTACGCTTTGCATGGTTGGAACGAGGAATGAGCCATGCAAAGCAAATTATTTATATGCACTGACATACAAACACACAGATATCCCCACATTCTCACTTACATAAACATGGACAGATCCCCACCAGGCATACACACAAACTACATGGCCCCCCCCCCCACCCCCCTTATTTCTCAATGGTATTTTAAGTAAAAACCTTTCCCGCCCTTTTCCCTGTTTTCTCCCCTCCCCTTCCCTTGGGTCTACTAGCAAATGGCTCAATTATAAATTTTCCACAGCCCTTTCCCTTCCCCCCCAAAAAAAAAAAACGGGGGCCCACAAACCCCCCCCCAACCCCCCCCCCCCCCCAAAAAAAAAAACGCCCTGGTTTAAAACACCAACCCCCCACGCCCCAAAAAAAAGGGAGGCGGGGAAGATATTCGGAAAACAAAAATGGGCCCAGCCCCCTCCCCCCCCAACACCGTTTTTTTTTTTGCCAACCCCCCCCCCCCCCCCCCCCGACCCTCCCCTTAGTAATCCTCTCCTCCGACACTAAGACATGATACACATCTATTATGAACTACCCCCCCCTCCCTCCCACACACACACACACCCACACGAACACACACATTAACTCCCACAGAGACAACAACATACGTGAGACGCTGAAGGCAAAGCACCCCGGGTACTCAGCAAACAGTTTGTTGAGCAGGGTGCTCTTTCCGCTGCCGGAGGGCCCGCTGATGACGATAGGACGGAGGGACTGGCTCATGGCTCGGGTTTGGGATGCAAACAGCACGGGACTTGACCTGAGAACTGGATAAAAGATAGGGTTTTTTGTTGTTGTTGAATACTCTTCCAGTAAAGATGTATATATTTACGCATCTAGATTTATGTTGCATGGGAGTAGGAGCTATAGAAATTATCTGCATAATAATAATGATAATGATAATAATAATAATAATAATAATAATAATTATCTTACTACTAATGGAGCTAAGGCCAAATTTTGCGAACAGTATATTCTCAGAAACTACAGAATTAAAAAATATGAAACTTTGCCAGTACCCATAACTTGAAACTTAGTGTTGCAATATTATATTTTCAATAAGATAAAAAATGTAAGAGGAAATCCCATTTTCAGTTAAATTCAGTCCTTTTGTAGCGATCACTATCATTTGCTTCGACATTGTATATTCACTGCGGAGTGCCGACTGCGCCGAAGGATATTTTGAGTTCAGTTATACATTAAGTAGGTTTAAGGGAATTCCCGGTTTCGGTCTCACGCCTTTGACCGGCTTCTCACAGCGGGTTTGGAGCGCTCATAGAAGAAGAAAAAGAAAAGGAAGAAGAAGAAGAAGAAGAAGAAGAAGAAGAAGAAGAAGAAGAAGGAGAAGAAGAAGAAGAAGAAGATGATGAAGAAGGAGCAGGAGAAATTAGAGGAGGGGGAGAACAAGAAGAAAAAGAAGGAGAAGAATAATCAAGTATTACTACATGTTACAAAGTGGGGACTTTATCGGTTTTTTTTTACACTACCTAGGAAGAAAGAAAGAGAGAGAGAGAGAGAGAGAGAGAGAGAGAGAGAGAGAGAGAGAGAGAGAGGGGGGGGGAGAGAGAGAGAAGGAGAGACACAGAGAGAGAAGGAGAGACACAGAAAGAGAAGGAGAGACAGAGAGAGAGAAGGAGAGACAGAGAGAGAGAGAAGGAGAGACAGAGAGAGAGAAGGAGAGACAGAGAGAGAGAGAAGGAAAGACAGAGAGAGAGAGATAGGGAGAGAGAGAGAGAGAAAGAGAGAGAGAGAGAGAGAGAGAGAGAGAGAGAGAGAGAGAGAGAGAAAGGAAGAGATAGAGGAGGCCAGAAAGCACTGCAGAGGGAGGGTGGTGAGAGTGACAGGGAGGGTGTCGTCGAAAGCGACAAGAGTAGCCTACCGTAGGTCTACTTAATGTATCCATGGGTCAATGTCAAAGGTTCAGCCAATCGTATCCCGGTTTACTCCTTGCGTGTAGTCGCAGGTGTGTGTATGTCTAGGTCTAATATCTAGAATCTAGATTAAGATAAAAAATCATGGAAGTATTGAAAGTAGATTTCTCCTGCAGTGGATTAAGCGCGCACGCCGAAGGATGAGTGTATTTTGTGCACAGTCTCTAGATGAGATCTAGAATCTAGACCTAGAATCAAGATCTAAATCGAGATCAAGAAAAATCATGAAATGAAAGTAGAATCTAGATCTGTGATATTTCGATAACCTATTGAATATTGAAAGTGGATTTTTCTTGCTGTGCATTATAGATTCTAAGATCTAGATCTAGATCTAGGCTAGATCTATGTGAATCTTAGATCGAAATCAAGAACGATGAAAGTATTGAACGTGGATTTTTCCTGCTTCTAGAGTCTAGAACTAGGTTGTCGGTGAATCTAGATCGAAATCAAGAATCATGAAAGTATTCTTGAAAGTGGATTTTTCCTGCTGTGAATAGATCTAGAAATCTAGACCATCTGTGACGCATGTCGGTTGTAAAAAATGTGAATTTCTAAACTTAGATCTATCTATGGGCCTAGGCTCCTTCTTTCAATTATTGGCCTATGTCTTTATAATCCTTCGAAATCTAGGCTAAATATAGAATCTAGATAAGGTTCTTCTAGGAAGCAACAACTGGAATGTAGGCCTAACTCTTTAAAAAAAAAAGTGAGGAGAAAATGCCACGCCTTCGAAGAGGGGGAAGAAGTCTTACCCCTAGGGGTAGTCAAGAGGGGGTGCTACAAGGATAAATTCAAGGTAAAATATTATTATTTATGTTTTGTTTCTTTCCTGTTTTCAGTCTTTTTCCTCTTCTTAACTTTTTAAATACTTCTTCATTATTATTCCGTTCATAGAACGGGTACTTTTACTAGTAATAATAATGATAATAATAATACACTATGATTATTATTATATAATCATTACTATACTGCTCTTGTTGCTGTATAGCTTTAACGCCCCTTTCCAGACTGAAAGGTTATCTAAGAAAGAGGCGGGACCTCCGAAATTAATGTCCATCTCCGATAGGACCAAGGCAAGTGGGCAAAAAGCCATAAAAAAATACTTTCCAAAACTACCCAAGTTCAAAAACGCCCTTCCCGTTGGGGATTCAAACCAAGCCCATCCGTTCCACAAACCAGCATGACAATGACACCAACTAAGCTAACGAAACGGAGTAACGAGAAGAAAACTGACAAAATAATGGCCATTCAGTGACCACATGGTTCTCTATACCTCTTTCTATCTCTGCCTCTCCTTTTTAAAATTTCTTTTCCTCCCAAGCACACAGGACACACAGGAAGTAAGTTCTTAAAGTGGCACCCCCAAAAAAAAACACCCCAACAACAAACAAACAAACAAACAAACAAAAAACCAACAAAAAAAAACAACAACAAACAACCAACAAACAGCCATATATTATTATTATTATTATTAATATTATTATTATTATCGTCATTTTTTGCTAACAGTTTAAAGCAGCTCATGGTCCAATCAGCGTGACAGTGGATATACTAAGCCACATTTCATCACGAGCCAGGTTGAGTCAAAGCAACATCATATGAGCGCCAGAAGATTAGAGGTGTTACAAGAGAGTAACAAACATAAAAAAGAAGGAGGGGAGATAAGGACGAAATGAAAGAAGGTGCAAACCACACCAGAGCACCCGCCAACCACCCACATGGTCATTTAGTGCTGGGGGAAAAAAGTAAGACAGACAGACATAACAACAGAGGGAAAGTAAAAAAGTAGGACCTACCAGTGGCAGATTCAGTAGCTGAAAAGAAATTTATAAAAGCCGAAACCCTACACCAAAATCAGTTTTCGATATCAAACACCACTCGACATACAATACTTTTAACAAACACCTGGTGTCTTGGTGTGACACTCACACTGTGTCGAGAAGCGAAAAACAAAGGAGCAGAAGGGCGCAAGGAGAAAACGAGAAAACAGAAACGTTAGAGACAGATAGATAGATAGATAGATAGATAGATAGATAGATAGATAGATAGATAGATAGATAGATAGGTAGCTAGCTACCTAGCAAGCTAGCTAAATAGATGATAGATGAGCAAGGAGTGAGAGTGAGAGAGAGGGGAGGGGAGAGGGAGAAAGAGAGCGAGAGGAGAGAGATAGAGACTATTAAGAGAGAGAGAGAGAGAGAGAGAGAGAGAGAGAGAGAGAGAGAGAGAGAGAGAGAGAGAGAGAGAGAGAGAGAGAGAGAGAGAGAGAGAGAGAGAGAGATGGGAGGAAGGATCACTTCGGGTTTGTCACAGACATAAAGTAAAGGCTCCCCAAGATGTTACACCACGTAAACGTGCTAAACCCGTTCGATGAACAAATGCACGAAACTCAGTGGTAGCAACAGATGTCGAGCTACCAGTAAACAAAAACTCAAAGAAAGAAAAGCTGTTCGAGGTTTTCTTAAATTTGAAAAGAAAAACACCAAACCCAAAACAATGAGTAACACTGTCTCTTGTTGAACGAGAGGATGTGGTGATGTCTTTAGTGGTGGTAAAAGAAAAACTAGCGGTTGCAGTGAAAATAAATCGAAGCTGGGGTGAAATCAGAAGAGCAACGAAAAGCAAACTTTGATTTTTTTTTTCACCGCGCTCATCATAGGTGCAGTATACAATGAGTCGAGAAGACCATGGCCTCATTTCAGCAGACAACAATAAAGATAATAGAAACAAAGGGAAGAATAATGAATAGACTACGTTTCTACGTTTGAGCGCCAACTGACAGTAGTTCACTATTTCGAAGAGGTGGACTCAGCAAATTCATTTTGTTCAATAGAATCTTCACCCAACATTGCGAATTGCTCTTTATACATTCTTTGCAAACACTCTTCTTACAAATACTACAATACTGAACGCTTTGCCTCGAAAGAAATCATGTGCAGTCACTTACAATTACAAGCATTCACACCTTCTTCAACACACGGCGTACACTACAGTAATAATACTGAAATAACTCTACGGTAAAATAAAACTAAAACAGTTTCTTTCCACAGGCGGGGAGGCTAAACGGGGAGGCTAAACGGGTAGTGTGGGGTAGGATGAAAAGGGAATCAATATTACCAACAAAACAATATTGAACATAATAATTGTACATAGTTACAATACATGTATAACACTGGAACATGATACATGTAATAGACATTCAATGCTTTACTTAATTATTTCAGGAATTTGAACATCTGACTTTTCGTTTATCCCCTCCATATTTAAAAAAAAGGGTGGAAAAATTTGATTTACCCCCCCCCCTCGATTAAAAAAGAGAACAAAACTTTACTAGAAAAGTGTGTGTGTGTGTGTGTGTGTGTGTGTGTGTGTGTGTGTGTGTGTGTGTGTGCGCGCGCGCGCGGGGGGGCGTGTGTGTGTGTGTGTGTGTGTGTGTGTGTGTGTGTGTGTGTGTGTTGGGGAGGGGGGGGGGTGTAAAATCGTTTCATGTCATTCAAAACTCCCCCCACAATGCAATATCATTGTGGCTCAGAGGCAGCCAATAAGACTTCACATTCAAATCGATCAGTGTCCACATTATATGACATCATGGTTGCAAAACGCACTCAAACCTTATCGATCACAGAGCGCATAGCGCTTGTAGACTCTTTCCTCCAGAAGAGTTTTGCAACAGGATAAAGTTGTATAAGTGCTGATGAGTTGAGAAGCTACAAGAGAGTTACAAACACAAAAAAGGAGAAGAGATAAGGTTGATAGATGTTTGACAGGTAAGAAGGAACAAACCACACCGGAGCAACCACGAACCACCCGCGACCAGGAATTAATTGGAGAAATGT